TTTAAGTCTTCGCATTGCTGGTTTAGTTTCCTGGTTTTAATCTCTTCTACTCATAATGGTTCATTGAGAACGTGTTTGTCAAAGCAGGTTGTTACTCCTGGAAAACAAACATGGAGGTAGCGTTGCTGGCTGTAAGGGATGCAATGTAGTAACTATTCCTTTGGAAGAATTCTGCGCTTGTTTGTAAGATAATATTTGATAATACTTTGTTTTCGTGCTAATAATGCCAACTCTTTTTTTAACCCTTCCGGTAATCAGTGTCAGCTTGGGAAGTTCTTCTTTAAGTTGTCTTTTGTTTTAAAGCTTACTTGCATAAGGTCTGTATTTCATACTGCAGTAGGGTAATAGCAGTTATATGCTGAAAACTTGCACGTGCCATGTAATTTGGAAGCAGTAGGGTAATAGCATTTGAATTTGTGAGGAGTTGATCTTAAGTTTCCATTACAAGTTAGGATGGAGAAATTACTTCATTTAACAAGAGCATGATGTTGCAGTATATAACTTTTTGTTTTATCAAGTTATCAGTAGAAATAGAGTAGCATATCTATCTATATATATATATAGACAACTTGTTAGAATGTAGTGGACCATGCATATTGGCAAACATAAGGCACTGAGCAGGATTAATCTTTCCCTTCTTAAAGAAATTAGTCTCAAGGTAGACCATGACCAAATCACCATTTCCTCAAGTACCTTCTCTAACCTTAGCACATTCTCAATTTCCTAAAACCATACACGTTTGCAAAAGACGACTTCTCTCATATCTTGATTGCCTGTTATTCTTGATCTCCTCTGTTGACATCTCGTCCTCGTTCACTTCGGGAATTTTCAATAGAGAGGCATTAGATTTCGGTGTTTGTATTGCCAGACGACTCGATATGAAACCAGAGAGATAAACAATGTCAAGCTTCTGATTAATACGTTAAAGATTATTGAATGTCAAAGATTGCAAAGTTAATTACTAGTAATTATTTACCAGTTAGATTATTATCATTATATATATATATATATATTGTTGATTTGTAAAACTCCAAAGTAATAATATTTGAAAGTTCAGATTAAGTAATTGAAATTTCATACCCTAAACAAAAGTTCTATAAGCATCTATCAATAAAGCTGTTTTACTTTTCATGCAGATCCACACCTGAACTATTTAGTCTAAACTATTTAATCAATATTACATAACTCTTTTATTACGATATATATATATATATATTAAAAAAGTATAATATATATTAACAAAACACCAAAAACAGAGGGTACCAACTTTACATATCGACGACATTTTCAAAATTTACATCACTAATAGTATTACAATATATATATATATTTAAAAAATATAATATATATTAATAAGACACCAAAAACAGAAGGTACCAACTTTACATAATGTTAACATATCGACGACATTCTCAAAATTTCCATCATTAATAGTATTACAATATATATATATTTTTTAAAAATATAATATATATTAACAAGACACCAAAAATAGAGAGTACCAACTTTACATAATGTTAACGTAGACAACATTCTCAAAATTTACATTACTAATAGTATTACATCTTAACAAAATAGAACGAAAATAATAAACTCACTTATTTTTTAATATATTAAAACTATTCGCAGTAAAAAATTTTACCATTTCAAAAAAAAATTTAAAAAAAATTGAAAAATAAGTGTTATATAGATGTTATTTTTGTATTTGATTTTGTTAATTTCAGCAACTATCCCACCACAGCACCCATAGTGTATCTCAATCTTTTTATAAAACAAGATGCATTATAATCAACCAACACTAAATTATGAGAAGCAACCATTTTGAATTACTTCAATATGGGAGAAAAAAAAAAAATGAAAACAAAAGAATATATAAAATCAGTAAGAAGGTAGAAAATGTTTTACTTGGCAGAAGAAAGATTTAAGGGAGTTGCAGAGGATTTTCAAGTTGAAGATTAACCCATTTGCCATAATCTTGCAATAGCTGCTGCAGGAGCAAAGGTACAAGGCTATCCACCAGAGCTTGCATCACTCTGTTCATCAAAATTCCACCCCCAAATTTTATCAAATGGAAAAAACCGTACTGGGTTTTTTTTTTTTAACAATACGATCAGAAGTTGAAGAAGAAACGACATTTTAATTGGAAAATTGAAGTAATGTTTTGATTCTAAGCTAGTACCGTGTTTGACACCAACGGTTAGAAATCAAATGCGTAAACTATAACGAAATTCTAGATACTGAATAACTAAGATTTCAAAATATAATAAAAGATGTGATTAACTTGAACCGAATAAAATGTAGAAGTTGTTAACGAAAGAAAGATTATCCGAACAGCTTGTGGGCTGAGAAAGTAAAACCTCATTTACACAAGTCGTCAGGATAGGTAATCAAGGAGACTACTTACAAATTTCCTGGAATCTCGACTGTTGATACCGGCAGCAGAGTAAATGGTTGCGTATAGATCTGCATGCAATTACCATGGCGAAAAACTAATAATTACCTCATTCTCAAAATATAAATAAACGAGAAATGAACCAAACACAGCCTAAAAGTCATAGAAAATTATGATGTAATGGATGAGCTGCAAGAATCTTGCAGATGAAATTTGCCAGGAAGCACAATATTTACATGTAAAATTCCAGAAGATCTGGTTTATGGTTCTTCCCAATCCTTATTAGCACTAGTGGAGGATCAAATAATAATTTACATGTATAATTATTATGATCAAAAGGAGCAACGTAAACAAACCTCGAGAGAAAGATTCAGTTTTACATCAACCTCCAAAAATGATTCAGAATCATTATCATCCCACGTCATGTGATTTGTCATAATTGCTGCAAGTTTGAAAATAATATCAAGTATTAGAATGTTGTGTTTGCAGTGTCGTAAGACTACGTATATGATGAATATCAGAAAAGCCCCTCTAAGGTAATGAAGCACTTAATTGATCAACATAATAAGAGCTGCACACGAACTTCTTATTCCTATAGCTATCCGGAACATGAAGAAGATATGGTACTAAGAACAAAGATACCTGAAAAATGGCTGTTTTGCCTCTCTACAAGATCTGAACCTTCAAACTGCATAGAAAATTATCAAATAAATAAATATATATATATATTAAAAACGAAGTTTCAACATAGCAGCCAAAGAGGCTGGCTTTGTGCTTAGACCTAACAAGTGTTTAGTTAATGCATTTTGAGGGCTAACCAAATGTCTGTATTCGCCCCAACATTCCCTTACTACAGGATGCTTACTTACCCAACATTTATATCCGTCTCAACCCAAACTTTTCTGGTTCATCCTAAACATTCCCCACTTGTCTGACTGTTGCTGAGCAGTTTTTGGAACATATGCTAGTCTTGATAATGTAATAGATGATAATTACATTGTGAATTGTTAGTTTCTTGAGAATTCTCTTTCACTATGAAAAGTTTCTTAGAGATGCAATTGGTTTTTATTTTCCAGTTGATTCTTCAATAAATTCATTATCCGAACTGTTAAAAAATTTAAGAGAGTGGTACTTCCTTAAAACAAATACATCAAATTTCACCCGTGCAGCAATCTACATCTGCAGCATCATAGAAGGAAAGAAGAAGTTCACCTTGCAACAAAGCAACTCAACTGTACAATCTTCATCGGTTGGAGTCACTCGCAAATCCAACACTGGGGCAGCTTCAAAGTTCAGAAGTTGAATTTTCGGGAGTGCGCACCTGCACTGGTGAAAGAACAATCACTGGCAATTTAGATCCATTTTAACAATCCATAAGCCACAATATCCTTGCTGCACCATTTTTACCAACGAAGGAACAATGTCAGATTAGATATTCAGCACCAAAGACCCCAGTCCAAACCCCAGTAATGATTTCTTAAAAATTAATCAATCTATTTATAAAAAATTTACTAATTTCCAAAACTCAACCTACAAATCCTAAGATATTGCTGCATATATGGAAATAGAGGAGATCATGGCTTTTGATAAAATATACTTGACTATAAGAGCTTCTATTCTAGGAAGCTAACAGTAAACTGTCATCATAAAGTACCATAACAGTAAGCTGCTCATTTGGAAATCTAGCGATCTCTTTAATTCCTCTTGAAGTATAATGAGGACATTGGGTCAGCATGAGTTTAGGAAATGCAACTAAAGAAAGCTGCAAGTTAAGGTATTAAATGTGAAGGGTGAACTAACATGTGTCATAAACTAGCCAAGAAACAGAAGAACGTTGCAAAAGATGGTCCATCGTATCTCCATTTTTTAATTTCTTGCATATATATAAAGACTGGAGATAAGCTTCTACATCTCTATTTGAGTGAGTTTATATGTGTGCAAAGACTATTCTACGTACGTACATCTGGATATATCTCTATCGAACATATTCCTCTGCCCTGTCTTAGAAAAATGCTACTAAAGAAAAAGGAATCTACCAGTTGAAAAAAATCAACCTCTTCTTACATTTTTTTAGAAGAATCAAAACAACTTTTATTTTATGAAAGAATCACAGTTATATCATATTTGAATCCAGATTTTCACTTGAAAATTGTTACATGAGATATTCATGAAGATAATATCTACTCTAAGATTGTTAATCTTCTCCACTTAGCATTACAACTGAACCATCCATTTCACACTGGTGGATAAGAGTTAAGAGTCAAGAATGAAAGGTTATGAGTTTTCATAAATATGAATTAGAATACCAGAGATAATCCCCTCAACTTGCCTCTTCAAGTTAACAGAAGGATGGTTAGAAAACAGGATATATGCTTATGATAAGTCCCTTCGGGGATCTCAAAGATTAAGGACTTAGAAAAAGATTTGTTGTTTTCATTTTCTACATTCATTCTTGTTTATGCATATACTTCTCATTTTCTGCGCTCATTCTTGTTTATACATATCCTTGTTAACAAAAGTGATACAGAACAAGAAAATCCAAAAGTGGGTTTTTTTCAATAATAAGAGTTATGATACAGAACCAACAAAAGAAAATAAACATTTTCGTAAGTCTTACACTAAAAGCAATAGGAAGATTTAGTTTCCTTTCTAGTATAAATAAGAGTTTTGAAAGATTTTAATAATTGTAAAGTGGATATATTCCAATAATCCTAAAGTGAACATATTTCAATACTAAGAGATATGATACAGAACAAATAGGATGATTTAATTTACTTTTCTTGTATATATAAAGGTCTTGAAAAGTTTTACAATAAAGGGGAATAGGAAGACTTTAATTTCCTTTTTCTTTCTCATAGTTCTTTGTATTTAGCTTATTTTCTTATTTACTACATTTTATAGATTTCTAGTTTTAATTGTATTTGGAGCTTATATATAAGGTATCCAATCTTAATTACTAAGTAAACTATTCATGATTGTCATTCAAATATTGGGATATTATTTTGATTATTGATATCCAATATCTCTTTGAAGACAAAATTTAGAGAAAATTTATTGAAAACCAAACTAGAAGATGTTGGATTTCAACAATCAAAACAATGTCTCACAAAATTTAGAGAAAAAAATTATTGAAAATCAAACTTGGAGATACTGGATTTCAATAATCAAAACAATATCTCACAAAATTTAGAGAAAAATTTATTGAAAATGAAAAGTTTATTGAAAACCAAACTTAGAGACATTGGATTTCAATAATCAAAACAATATCTCACAAAATTTAGAGAAAAATTCATTGAGAACCAAACTTGGAGATATTGGAATTTAGTAATCAGCAATATCTCACAAAATTTAGAGGAAAAAATTATTGAAAACCAAACTTGGAGATATTGGATTTCAACAGTTAAAACAATATCTCACAAAACTTAGAGAAAAATTTATTGAAAACCAAATTTAGAGAGGTTGGATTTCAACAATCAAAACAATACATTAATATTTGAATAATAATCATGATCTAAGATCGGATACCTTATCTATAGGCACCAAATATAGTTAAACTGGAAATCTACAAAATTTAGTAAATAGAAAAATAAGCTAAATACAAAGAACTAGGAGAATACTTAACAAATTGATTCTTCCTTTCTTTTTTCAAGTCTAAAATTTTTCAAAACCTTTATTTTCTTTTATCAGTTTTGGATCATATCTCTGACTATTGGAATATGTTTATTTTAGAATCTTTCTGTTTTGCATAAAAAACTTTCAATATCTATCATCATCTTTACTACATTCTCTCGCATTGTTATCTTACATCTCTTTATGAATAATATACATATAAACTTTCTGTTAAGAATGGTTTTATTGATGTGTATTACACTGAATGTTCAAGTTTATATATATAGGTTTTACAGAACGAAAAAGGAAATAAACAATTGATTACAATTACTACAAACGATATGATTTAATACTAATTTAATTTGCTTCCTTTCTAATATCTTGATTTATTTTCTCTTTTTAACACTTTTGATTTTCTTCTTCTTTAATATCATGATTTCTTTCCTTTTATCAGCTTGATTTACATTCTCTTTAATAGGATGGTTTTCTTCGCCTTTAATATCTCGATTTACTTACTCTTTAATACCATGATTTTCTTCTTCTTTAATACCTTGATTTACTTACTCTTTAATACCATGATTCTCTTCTTCTTTAATACCATGATTTCTTTCTCTTTAATACCATGATTTCTTTCTCATTAATACCTTAATTTACTTACTCTTTAATACCATGATTTTCTTCCTCTTTAATACCTTGCTTTACTTACTCTTTAATATTATGATTTTCTTCCTCTTTTAACACTTACAAAAATAAAAATTAAATGTTTTCTCCTATAGCAACCTAGCCTAATTCACTTAATAATGCAAACAAACAATCTGACTTACAATTGGTAAGAAAGCAAGTATAGAAGTGGACCTGTATGTGTTGTTATCAAGGTGCTGAAAACTTTGCAAGGCATTTGTATTCAACATTGCTTCAATCCCAGAAGGGTGGTTTAGAAATTCACTAATATGATATGCCTTCCTTCCATTACTATCAGAGTAAATGGGAACACTGATTCTTTCCCTTTTTGAGGCAGACAAGTTGGCTTTCTTTGCATTTGAAACCCACAAAGTGTTTGCTTTCTGGGATTTTCTCAGTTCAATTCCTTTCCTGGAAAAGGAAAACCAAAAAAGAAAAAAAATATTTTTCATAAAGTGTTAAATCTACTGTACTTGTAGAGAAGAACAATAAAAAAAGGCAAACCTTTTAGTAATGGTGAATAATGAGAAAGGAATTATGGAGGAAAATGAAGTAGAACCCAGATGCTCCTTTCCCCTTGTAGCCGCCATTGCAGCTCCTCTCCAGCCCTTAACAATTCCTATCTGCATCCCAAAACTCCCCACCCTGAAAAAAATAGAAAAAAATGTTTTTAAAAAGTTAACACCAAAACCCATTTTGAACTTCAAAAATCCGAACCTTTTTTGGTTTACTATTCTGATATCTTCTGTTCAAGTTTTCAATTACTTGGCTGCCATGAAAGTAATCATAAAAAAGTTGGAAGCTTTGGAGAATATTTTGGCTAATAACGAAAAATCAAAAAGCTGCAACAGTGAAAGCTCACATACCCACTCTGCTTGGTGCGTACTGAGTTGAGAGTCGCAGTAATGGCTATGGCTGAAGCCAAGGATAAAGCGAGCTCCTTCTTCTTCTTCGTCACTTCTTTTTTTTTTTTAATTTGGAAAATAAAAAGTGTAGAAAAGCGAGAGGCAGAGCTAACGGCAAGTGTCATCCGCCGTAAGATGATAACCGGCTTTGCCGGTACTTTTACCGGTTAATTTTGGTGCTTTGTTAATAATTATTATGTTATATTTTCTTTCTTATTTTTAATATATTATTTCAAAATATAATTTTTTAACAAATTTATTTTTAAAAAATAAAAAATTATTATCTTTTTTTTGACTTTGATATAAAATATGAAATTTTAAGATATCCTGAATTCCCAGAGTGTATCCAAGTGTATAATATATATATATATATAATATCTAAAAATGTCATTAGGCACCCAATATGTCCAGAAAAACTCTTATCATTTTCTCACCCTATGCTCTGTGCAGAGCTCAGAGGAGACAGTTCTGAATCAAAAGAACTACAAAGTTCCAATCTTTCATAATCAGTCTTCACAGTTTGTGATGACAGTTTAAATTTGGTAAAATAATAAGCAAACAAATATGAAATTCAGGCTTTCCTTCTGAATTTTACTCTACATGGATTCAGCAGTTTCGTTTAACAATAATAACTGTCAGTAAATAAATATTCAATTGCATTCTAAACAATATACATGGAGAGATGAAACCTCAGTCCTGCTAGGGAGAACCCGTTGTGATCAACCAATTCGAAGGGCCTGCTTTATGAAGGCAGCGACGTGTAGGTTCTTGGTATCAGTGGGGACTGCAACTATAAAGATAATGCTTCTGTCATCAAGACTTCCAACTCGTTCTTAGCTTGGCAATTTCTAGACCAACTGTTCAGTCTTTCTTCTTCTTATCATTTAATGGTCTCCGGATGAGGATTGCCCTCCAATTTGTTGTCATTCTTCGGCTTTCTGAAATACCCTCCTCCTCTGTCCTCTTTCAACTAAGATCTCTATATTTCCTTTTGAGACGAGACAATTTTAAGAGATGTCCTCATACCTTCTGAATCACTCTGAGCTTAGCACTCCTAGACCGGCTATTCAATTTCTCTTCCTCTTCCGATGGTGTTATCGGTCTTTTCGTAAGGATTGTCCCATTCAACCCTTGTATTGTCTGTTTAATCCACTTTTCATTCTCATTACTTCCACTTGTGGTCTTTTTGAAATATCTACCACCTTCCCCTTCTTCAAAAGGAACCTCATCTTTGCTTTGAGAGTTGATAATGCCAAGAAAAGTTTGTTTCACTATTCTGTCCTCCAAACTATGGAAAGAGATGACAGCAAGCCTACCACCTGGAGCAAGACAGTCGAAAGAAGCATGGAGAGAATTCTCCAGGGTCTTGAGTTCATCGTTAACAGCTATTCGCAGACCTTGAAAGACACGTGTTGCTGTTTTAATCCAACCTTGCCTACCTCCTGTATTAGTTCAAAATTTAAAGAACCATAAAAGTAAATCACCTGCCCAGTAAGCTAACGCTAAATAAAACGTTTGTAAGTTAAGGTTGCCACTGATGTCTCACTTTGACCTTCTTCACATGTAAAATCATGAAGTTAAATATAATAGTAAAGTCATCATTTATCTATATCAACCTCCATTAAAAGATAATGAATGCAAATTCGAGAAAGCACAAAGTGAACTGCAAAGACATGAGAAGGAAATAAGCACAAAGTGAACTTCAATGGACATGAGAAGGAAATTCACCTCTTGTTCCAGGACTCGCATTTCGTATAAGATTACTAGATCACCAGTAGAATGCAACCCGCCAGTTAATCGAGCCCTAACAATTTTAGTCTGAAATAAACGCCAGTTGCTTTCTTCACCATAATCCCGCAGGATTCTGCCCACCTCAGTTTCTGGCCAAGAGTTCAGTATATCTTCTGCTTTCAAACTCGCCTGTCATGCACCTTCTACATCAGCTAAATAGAATGAACCTACAAAAAGATTCCTACAGAAGCATGTACCAGATCTAGGTAAAAGAACTTTGCTTGTCAAGTTAGCAAGATCAAACTTTTCGCATGATTTTAATTTATTAATTCTCTCACTTAAAGATTACAATAGTTCCCAGCAATACATCCTAAGAGGATTCTATGGGTAATATTCTCCCACTCATCGAGGCATTCTCTTGTAAATCTCAACTTCATTTATCCATATCTTATTAACAGTGTCTTGCAGTCCTTATCTTCCTGTTAACCAATAATGCTAGCTCAGTTCTAGCTTTCATGATTTCTACTTCTTTGGTTCATACAAGAATGCTGTGAGTTCTAACCTGAGGATCCATGCGCATATCAAGAGGTCCCTCACGAAGCCAGCTGAATCCTCTCGCAGGATTGTTCACCTGTGGTAAAAG